CGTGACCGTGAGTGCTACCTTGCCTATCGGTGTAATTCTATTACCAACGTAATCTGATAACTCCACGTCGTTAGTTACGATTACCTTTGGACCTATTAGCGTTTTAAACGTCGACTCGGAAATAATACTATGTACCGAACCGGTATCGATTTCGAATGCTATAGGTTTACCTCTAATGATTAACTTTACGCGGTACGGAGGTACTTTGAGCTTATCTCGRGAAATATCGTTAATTGCAAAAAAAGAATCAATTAATTCTACGCAAGATTCGTGATCGMCTGACCGCTCATTTTCTGTCAAAAACTTATTTTGCGACTTGTGCTTAGTACCTCTATTTTTGCACATGGGTGCCAAATGACCCACTGCCCCGCATGTATTACATGAATAATTTTTGAACCTGCATAGTCCGGTGTCGTGGTTGGAACGACCGCATACCTGGCACTYCTCTTTCCCGTTGGTTTGGCCCCGTCCATTTGTCCGCTTTGGTGTCGTCTGTGTTGGAAATCCTTCCTGTTTGGTAAAATGGAACGCCCCGGACGTTTCCTTCGACCACTCCTTGCTTGCGTTGATGTTGGCCTCTATGGTGGTTGCCACTTCCATCAATTTTCCTAAAGTGGTTGATGTTGCTGACGCGTCTTCTTCCAGTAACCGATCTTGGATTTTTCCGGAACCCATCCCGACGACAAATATGTCCTTACTACTATCTCCAGCTCTGGCCCGAAACCACATTTCGAAGCGAGTTCGCGTACGCGTGCACCCCACTGGGACACACTTTCTTCGTGATTCTTACCAGCTAGCTAGAACTGGTGACGGGCGGCGAAATATGACTTTTTCGGCTCATAGTGTTTTTGTAGTACGTCCGATAACGACTCGAAAGTCTTATTGTCGGGATCCTCTGGTAAACACAAACTGAACAGAGTTTTATGCGCTTCCTCCGAAATCGAGGATAGCAAAATGGCCCTCTTCTTACTTTCTTGCGTGATTCCGTTGGTGGCAAAAAAATTTTTTATCCGGGCGAAATATATTTTTACATTCGTGTCCTGGTCGAAAATTCCAGGGCTGCCGATTACTTGCGAATAGATAGTTCTTACGGCCGGCGGCTCGTTAGTCTGCGCCGATTGTGGCATGATTAACGACAAATACCAAAAAGGAATATATAGAATTTGCTATATGTGCGAGTGACGAAAAGTGAATATAAACGATGTCGCCAAATCTTCGTCGCCACTTGTTGTATTCTACTTATACAACACCAAGAAATAAATAACACTAATTTGTGTGATAACTAAACATATTATGATTTAAACACAAAAGTAGCCTGGACTCAATTCAATATCACCGGTTTTGAGTGTACCTATTAATGTATTAATAAAAGTTGTACCTTTTCATAAAATAAAAAACAATTATAAATCAATGTCCAAAATCATCATACAAATGGTATCAACAATAATATGTTTACTATTTTAGATTCTGAGTATAATGAAGAAACCTTCATTCAGAATCATTTTTAGATAYTGTGGTGTGATGTTTATCTGGCTTTTTAATTTCCTTTTTGGTAGATATTTTAGATATTTTTTCACTTTGAAAACAGTTTAATAAGGCATCTACTTGTGCAAGGCGCATTTTTAAATCAATGTTCTCTTGGAGTACCTTCTGTAGTTCTTCTARTTCTTTGGACAATGTGAAGGACATATTTCTTATTTTTGTTCGTGAGTGCTATAAAAATACATTTTGATTATCAGTCTATATTGTAAAGTTACAATTAATAAATAAGAACATTTTARAACCAACGTAATATACTACCAATCTAAAGTAAATAGGAATAGGGGTTGATATTGTAGTACAAAATAACTCATGCAGCCATACATCAAATAAATTGTATTATATATCTACAACCTAGATCGTGGACATCAATGCACATAATATAAATGATATTTTATCGCAAGAACTAAAAAAGAGAACTTCTTCACTTACCTTTAAGTTCAAACCAAATGGTAAATAATATTTTGCTTAGTACAAATAAACTARTTATTTAGATCCTGAGCGGAGCGATGAATGTATATTTTATTAAGAAGAATAGGCTCAACAGCGAAGGTCATTAGCCTGAAATAAACTTATTAATCACTATTAAATTAACATTCCTGTATCATTAAAATACGTAAATGAAAGCTCTGATTAATTTAATTGATGCTTTAACTTGTAATTTAATATTTAACACATTATTAAAGTTTTAAAACAAAATATAAGGCGTAAGCAATACAATATTCTGATTACGATTATTATGATAACATAGGATTGGATAGAAAATGGCAGATGAGCATTGATACCCGTATATATAGAGCCTTAGCGTTAGGGTGACCGCACACTGGTAAAGCAAAATTGACTGAAGAAATGTAAGTCATATTTAGTCATTTTGCTTTTAGTCATAATAAAGCATTGTTGTCGCACACTAGATAAAACATAGTTAGTCAAATCAAAGTACCTATATCAAGTAGTCGTCGAAATGTCGTCCGACGAGGAGGACGTTGCTATTCCTATTTTATGGTTTCTTTTAAGAGAAATTGAACAGGAAGAAAATAAAAAAAAACTTTGGGTTCATCCTTTGAACTTGAAACGAACTGAAAATAATACAATTAAATGTTTTATTCATGAACTTCGAAATGACGAATGTAAATTTAGAAATTTTACACGAATGAGTACCGACACGTTTGATTATATTCTAGAAATAATTAACGATGAAATTCGAAAACCTGATACTAATTTCAGAAAAAGTATCACTCCAGAAGAGAAATTATTGGTGACATTGAGGTAAGTTAATAATACATTCTAAATAATTAGATATTAGATTCTAAGCGGAGCATAGCGAAATAATGTATTGATTTTACAATGATGTGTTTTAAAAAAAAAAAAATCGTTTATACAATGATTTATCATTGAATTAAAATATAACATATCCATTACAACGACATGCTTGACAACTACTGAACAGCAGAGCGGTACCCACTTGTCCAACTTTTTTTACATTTTCATTTTTTCGCTCCACTCAGAATTTAAAATAGCAGGTAGTATAAAAATAATTCTTTTAGACTTGCGAATTCTCTTGAACGTATTACTTTTTATTGTTATAATATTATTATAATAAAATGAGTTAACACTTAATAAGGTTATACTTAATTTTTAACAATACTAAAAATGATAATTTATTATAATGAAAAATCAACTGTATTAATGCAAAATATAAGAACTTGAACTATCCGACGAGGAGAAATCTGGAGAACTCGCAATGTACTGAATTGCATTAAATTGCTGCGGTTGTTGATTTGCATTTAACTGCTGATCTGGTGATAAATGAGGTATAATATTAGAATGTGGCGCATTATTGTATCTTGGCATTTCATACGACGTTTCTTGGCTGTCGAGAAGCTGATCAATGGTATTTAATACAATTTTTTTGAATTGACGTTGATTTTTATCATTTAATTTTAAAAAATCTGGAATAATACTTTTAAAAAAAGAAAGTTCAGGTGTATCCTCGTTATTGTTTTTTGGTTGAGTTCTTGTCTTTAGAAATTCCAACATTGGTTCCACCACTCTTTCACTGGGTAACATTTTTCGGTTTGTTCTTGGTTTTTTAAATAATGGTTCATTACTAGATTTTTCATTTTCTGCATCTTCATCAACTATTGTTTGTGAAATCACTTCTTGTTCAACTGTTTCTAAATTTTGTTCAGTATCTGGCACTACCTATAGGTTCTTCAACGAAACTATCGTTTTCTAAGACATTATCTATATGGGAACTATTCAAATTGCTTTCCATTTTTTTGTGTTGCAACACGTAATCAGAGAGAAACAACATATTATCAAACAAATACCATTTTCTTTTTCTTGATGATGCTCCGGACCCAGATGGCAATTTTTTTCGTTCACGCAGCTGCCTTGAAAATGAATTTCGAAGCGTGGTCCATTTTGCCTTGCATTCATTAGCTGTAATTAATCAACAAATTGGATACTAATTACAATACAAATTTTTATTTTTATTTTGTTTTATTTAATTTTTTTTTTTAAAACAAATTTTTTTAATGTTTTTAGTTATTTGGCAACGGGAGAGCGATTTCAACGTCTTCATTACCAATTTCGCCTAGGTGCTACGACAATAGGATTGATAACTAATGAAGTATGTACTGCTATATGGAAATTATTATCACCCATTTATTTGCTAACGCCTAAAGAAAAAGACTGGATTAAAATTTCAAATGAGTTCAATAAAATTTGGAATTTTCCTAATTGCACAGGAGCAATTGACGGTAAGCACATTACTATTCAATGTCCACCATGTGCTGGTTCCGAGTATTTTAATTATAAAGGGTTTCACTCAATTGTGCTTCAAGCAGTGGTTTATGCTCACGCAAAATTTATAACAATCGATGTTGGGGATTATGGCCGGTCCAGTGACAGTGGAATATTTAATGAATCTAGTTTTGGTAAAATGTTACTACACAATGAATTAAATTTGCCACCACCAAGAAAAATTCATAATGATATCAATGAAGAATATCTTTTTGTGTTTGTTGGGGATGAAGCATACCCTTTATTACCAGGCCTGATGAGACCTTTTCCGCGTAGGAACTTAACAAACGAAAAACGTATTTTTAACTATCGACAGTCGCGGGCAAGACGAATAGTAGAATGCGCATTCGGAATTATGGTTAAGAAATTTAAAGTGCTGGAAAACAAAATTGTGGTCAGCCCAGAAAAAGCTACCCAAATCGTAAAAGCTATTTGTGTATTACATAACTTAATTATGACGAGAGAGCAACATTGTATTGATATTCAAGAATTTATAAATTCTCAACAACAGAATGAAATAATTGAACAAGATATCAGTAGAATTAGATCTTCTAATAATAGATCTTCCACAGCAGCATTATCACTTCGAAATAAATTTACAGAATATTTTAATTCAAATAAAGGTTCTGTATCCTGGCAAAATAAATACACTGTATAGTAAAATTATTAAATAATAAGAATTGATCAATTAATAACTATTTTAAGTACCTACTTTATTATTATATTATTTTTACTATCGTAAAAATATAAAGAATATAAAAATATAAAAATATAAAGACCTGGTATTTTTAGAATATCCGATATTTCTGTCCATAATTGTTCCTGTATGTTTCTGTTGCTATAATTTTTGTGTTTAATCATAAAGACACTGACGTTCTTGGACTAATGATATTAAATGTTCGATGTTCATTTCATGCTCAATCGACATTTTATAATCCTATTGAATAAAATAATGTGCAATCATAGATATTTAAGAATTCTGCAGTGCAATGTGACACTTATCATTTTTTGAATTTTCAATGCTCGAAAAACTTAATGTGGAAATCCCAGAATAAAGTAAAATAATGCTTATAAATATGCTAACATGTTTTGAACTATTATATTATATTATAGTTAAAATAATTAGTTTGTACGAATGTTATAGATATTTATATTTTGTTCACAAATTATTACTTAAAAATAAAAACAAAAAATCAAATAAATGTTTTCAATGCAAAATTACGTATTTCAGTACTTGTAGATATAGTGAATAATGTATAATATATAATGTATAATTACCTTTATATTCTAGACAATTTATAAATAAATAATATTTGGCATAATTTTGATATAATTATCCAGTGACTGCTTGGACAATGACTAATGAAAATAGCGCACGTTCTATTTCAATAAAACAATATTAGTCATGACTGAAGACAAAAATGTTYTGTTTTGACTACGCTTTATCAGTGTGCGTGTTTTCCATAAAATATAAAGGTTTTATTTTTGATTAGTCATAATAAAGCGACTTTAGTCGCTTTAAAGCAGTTTTGCTWTACCAGTGTGCGGTCACCCTTACGAAAATAAATACAGATAATAATATTATATTACACACAGTCAATAAGCGTTGTTGCCAGTCGTCGGTGTGTCATCAATAACGCTCACTACAGTGCATATTTGTGACCATCGTGATTAATTGTTATATTGTATATTATTTAAAAATGAATTGGAAAAATGAGTTTACAGCCTTATTGTTTTGAACCTACTCTACAAGATATTGATGAAACAACGTTAGAAACAATATCGGTTAATCCGTTAGTGGCGATTAGTTGCGACGAAAGAACAAAAAAGGAAATCAAAGATTGGTGTTYATGCAAGAAATGTACAACTATGACAACTGATAAAGAATGTGTTTGTTGTTTCGAATTTGACAATTTGATTAAATTGCATGGTAAAAAAATTGTATAACTAACATTCCATCTTTTCGAAAAGTTATTATGGACGAGGAAATTCTCAACATCACCAGGCATCAAATKATTATTAAAGCTCGTAACAGTAACAAGAAAAAAATGCTTTCAAGTCCATGTCCCCAGAATAAAACTTGGAGATTTATATACTATAAACAATTTATTCACTGGATAAACTCATGGTCTGCAATAGGAAAAGGTATATTATAATAATTAAAACATATTTTGTTTATATAGGTTGTTTTAATGAATTATTTGCGGACCAGTAAATTGTAATAATTTCTACAGGTAATCGAATATGTATTCCAGCATGTGTAGTGAAAGCGATT